AGAGTGAAAAAAAAAAAAACACCAAAACAAAACCAAAAACAAACTGTGAAAATAAATCGCATTAGGCTAAAAAAAAAAATCCCATATAGTGTTGTAAAGCCAATGCAAAAGGTGGCACTAGCACAGGAGAACCAGCATGGAAAGAGCAGCACATAGGCACGGCACTGACTGGTCTAGCTTCACCTCCCAAGCACAGCAGCACGCAAAGGCACATCCCACCCCACGCCCCTTCCCCACCTAAGTTAAGCGAATATCATCCATCTGACAACACTTCTACCCACCCACCTCCCTCACCCACCGTTCTGTCCAAACCCACTGTTTCTGTTAAAGCATATTCAACGATCTCAGTAAGAAAGGAAAGGAAGAGGGAACAAGACATAGGAAGGAACAAGCAGAAAAAAAATATTTCTCGGAGATTTTCCAAATCTGACATCCATTTGCTTTATCTATTTAGTGGCCTGATGATATTTCATGTTTCTGTTATCACTACATTTTAACATGAATAAGCTGTTCCTATACTGCCTGATCACAGAATTCAATTCAACTGGAATAACAAGGTGAAAGGAGCTAGCAGCCTAATACACAAACAAGACCTAGAAAAGAAAAAAAGATTGAAGAAACTGAAAGGAAGTTTAGGAGAAAAGAAAAAAAAAATAAGGTGAGTCCAAAACATTTATTACTAAAAAAAGCTAGCGAGCGGTCACTAAGCATTTCTCCTAAAACATGTAATCCACAGGATTCACATGACAGGCATTAGAAATCAAACTGTTGTGAAAAGAATAAGCGAGCAGTAACAGGAGACTTTAAACTACTACGCTCCTAACTAAACTGAAGCAATCTGTTCTTCACAAAACTGACACTGGCCAACCACAGGAAGCTATTCAACTTCAATTACAGCAGCGCAGGTATAGGTAAGCCGGGAGGTAGCAATAATGAAAAACACCATCGCTTATTAGTTAATTTTGTAATGGAAAAAAACAACAAAGAGATAGAAGAGTAAGTTCTATGAGTTCTAGCGAACTTTATGCAAAGGCAGTTACGTGATTATAAAGCGACTGGAATAAACTGGGAGAGAAAAGATGAAAGGGACACAGAAAGCACCCACGTGCGAGCTGACAATGATGCAACGACAGAGCGTGTTGTATGTGTGTGTATATATACATACATATGTATATATGCACACAAGTTAATAACTGGTAAATATGCATAAACAGAGGTAAAAACCACATGCAGGTCAAAAAAAACACACTCTTGCTTTGGAGCAGACACAAACATCCCTATATAATTGATGACCGCTACGTACATGTTCCAGCACGGACACCAAAGGGAAGCAAGCAATAAGGAGTTCATTTACAACAGCGTAATTTTGGTCCTGGTATCCTCCTGCTAGTTTTTAGCTATTACTTCTAAGATCGAGAGTGACACTTTCACGTAAGACACCCTTTCCTGACATCTTAAACTGCCTACATAACTGTAAACTCCAGCATCTTATAAAACCAAAACTGTAAGTATTGTTTTGTTTTACCTTTCTTCCTCGCTTTGACGGCCTCTTCCCATAATCTCAGGGTCTCTACCTGCTTTCCAGGCCAACTTGTTACATGCTGCTGCTGCTGCTGCTGTTGCTGCTGCTGCTGTTGTTGTTGTTGCTGCTGTTGCTGCTGCTGCTGCTGTTGTTGCTGCTGCTGCTGTTGTTGCTGCTGCTGTTGCTGCTTCTGATTGCTGGTCTCTTCACTCATGCATGCTATGCCAATTAAGTAAGAACACAAATTCACCTTGAAAAGTTACTCTGTTTTCTGCTGAGATCACAAAGGCTTCTTCCATAAAGAGTGTGTGGAATCTCACAGGATTCCAAGAGCAAAAATCACACAGGTGTTTAAAAACATATAATTAATTCTGTGTTTTATAAAACTACTTTTCCAAGATCTAAAATCCAAAATGTTAAGTCAGGAACATCTGCTTTCACTGCCAAAAATGAAATTCCTTTCTGATTATTTTCTTTGTATTTTAGGAAGAACGAAATAAAATACTACAATGAGTCTCTACAATTCAAGCTGGTTAGCTGATTCCACTTTTTCTAAACCTCAGCTCCAGTTTAAAAAAAAAAAAAAAAAAAAAAAAAAAAGCCTTTTTACTTTTTATTGCAAGTATGACTTAAAATTTTCAGTTTACCTTTGCATCACAGAACAGCATGTTACTACCCTCTGGCCACATTACAGCTCATCATTTCCACCTCTAACAACTGCTGTAAATGCCTTCTGAACTGGCTTAGCACCACCGGCCTGACTTGGGAAGCCAGAGCTGTAACCCTATACCTTGCAAAATACTTTGCATCCAAATTTCGTATCAAGCTCAAGAATCAGGCATTTAAAACATTCCCGGTACCTTCAAATTATCCAGGAGTAACAGGAACTGAAAAGATGTTATAAATTAATACTGTTTAAAAGACTTTAAGGACAAAGTTTCCAAAGACATTCCTTACTTCTCCCTCTCGATTCCTCTGAAAACCCGTCTTACATCACTAACCATGTCAGTGAGCGGAAGTTACAGGTATTTTAATAGGGAAGATTTGAAAGTCAAGTCTTCGTTTGCTTCCTAGGCACTCCCAGGTTCAGGCTTCAGCACTTTCCACAGAGTTTAAGACTAGAAGGAACTACTACAAACATCTCATTTGAATTCCTGCTCACCAGTCAAATGCCATTAATGCCCAAAACATACCAGAGCTGGATTTAAATGCTTTGCTTGTCAGCTATTGCCAGAGGGAGGAATCATTGAGCCCCAGGGTCAAAGCTCAGAGAAAGCAGAGAAATCTTTCTCCTAATTTTGATGAGCTTTAGATGAGGCTTCAAACCTGAAACTTGGCAGATCTTAGCAGTTCTTAAATATTCTAAAATCTCCACAATTATCTGTTGGACTTTTAGGCCTGCGCAGTTCAGGAAGCAGCATTGTACTTAAGAAGCCGAGAAAACCTGGGGACTCTTTTCTTTGAGAAATGGGTTACTCTCGCAACCTGCAGGGCACTCCTAAGGGATAAGAGCACAGTCTAGCAGCAAACTAATTCCACATATGCCAATTTCTTGAGCTGAAGAAGATCCTGTTATCAAATATCTGGTTTTAATAGGTGTGAATACCCAAACTGATGGGTACGTTTTTGCATTTTAACGTAACCAAAGGCAATTCCCTTTGCAAACACATTGTTATTAGAAATGTTTTTAAAACGTTCACCTACTTTTATTGATGCCTTGTTTACAGGTATTACAGTTGATACTTTGGCTCTGCCCGTGTGTCTTTAAGTGGCTGGTGATATATGCTGCACTCAGAAGTTTACCACAGATATTACACGATACCTTTCCTTCATGGCGCACCATGTGTGTCCGCAGTCTGTCTTTGGTGGCAAAGGCAGCAGTGCACGTCTATATGAAGGACAACAGTTACACTTGAAGCACAGACAGCATCATTCCAGTATGAACTACATGCCCACTGTACGCCTATTTTACCTTGCAGGTGCAAACAGTATCCTAAGGATATTGTGACAACCTTAAGTTTTACCTGTATTTATCGAGAAACCAAAATCAAACTACTAAACAGAGACTGAAAATGGAAGTTGGCTTCTGAGGCAATTAGGACAAAAGTCATACTCTATACTACTTGAACTTTCTTCAATTAACGAGTTGCATTACCTAGCAAAACAAGAGGTAGGTTATAAAAAAACCCTAGAACAGGCAAAGCTGGGTTTGGGTAATAATTTTACTGTACAAATCTGAACTTGATATCTCGAGTTGCTCAATTACATCTGTTCCCATCCAAATCAGAACAAGGAAACAAAAAGCTTTTTCTAACAC